CCACCACGCCCAGTCTATGTGATTTATTTTCTGTTAAGTACTCATTGTTGAATATAATAAAACTTGGGGGCCAGAGAGATAGCTCAGTAGAATAAGTGCTTGCCTGGCAAGTGCAAAGGCCTGAGTTCAATTCCTGATTCCACACCCCCCCCAAAAAATAAATAATTAAAAAAATATATCAGTAAAATAAAAAACAAATAATTAATCAATAGAAATATTCTAAAGAATAAACCTGGATGCTCTCCTTGGCCAGAAGCCAGAGGATGAGCCTGGAGCAGACTCCGGCCCAAGTCTGGGTGGAAGTGGCAGCTGCAGCAACAGCGGCTCCCGAGGAAGAGAATGAAAAAGGAAAAGCAATCCTTTCTGCAACTGCTGGTATCATTGCCTTTTGATGCTAATCTTTCTGGAAGAACCTCCACTGCCCAGGGACTTTCAGACCCTGCTGCTTCTAATCTTTAGTCCTCTTCTGATCACTTTAGAACTAAGATTGCCAGGGACCTGGATGCACTGGAGCACATGTACCCAGGAGTACGTGTACCCATCTGAGATCACTGCCAAGCAGGGCTCCATTCTGGTGTCAAACCTTGACAACGTGAGGACTGACTTTCTAATTAAAACCATTGCTAAATGGGGCAAGATATGCTTTGAAACTTCGATTGAAGTAGCGTATTTTAAAATGTCTTGTGAAAACATGAAGTACCTGCATCTATTTTGAGATAGTTTCTGTTGTCATTGAGAATAAATGAACATATGTCAGAAAAAAAAAAAAAAAAAAGAATACACCTGAGCCTGACAGACCCAGGGTTATGTACTTTGGTGACAAAATTAAGTCTTTTTCCCAATAAAAGGGATGCAATACTGCCAAACTCATTCCTGGAAGCAAGCATTACCCTGATCCCAAATCAGAGAAGGATCCAACCAAAAAGAGAACTACAGGTCAATCTTCCCTAATGAACATAGATGCAAATGTCCCAAATAAAATAGATACTGGCTATTACCGTTTGTGTCTAGATGCTCCCCCAAAGCCTAATGCGGTTTTAGATGGGATTTTTTCAGAGACAGCTGACTCTCGAGTGTGTGAGACTGGGGTGAAGGGTGCAAGACCAGTAAGTCAGTCTACCCATGTTTGGTCTAAGATTAAGGGTATGAGTGCTACACCCATCCTAGGGTGGGTAGCCTGCATAGAAGACAAGGGAAAGAGTCTTGTTTCTCTCCTTGGTTGCTTTGCTTCCTTCTGCCTACTATGAATGCTTTGCCTCTGTGAGGCCTATCTGCCATGCCACCCTGCCTTGGAGCCAGCTGAGTATGGACTGAAACCTCCACAAGCTGTGAACTAAATAAACCTTGCCTTCCTTCATTTTAGGGGTCGGGTATTTTGCTCCAGCAATGACAGAAAAGTAACTGGGACATTAATAAATGCAGGAAATATGTCTGACAAAGTCCAAAACACATTCATGCTAAAACTTGACAGAAAACTGGGATAGATGGCTTTTATCTCATGTGATGTTGGCAGGGTGCACTGATGCTTGTAACCTTAGCTATCTGGGAGGCTGAAGCAGGAGGAGCTCCCTTTTCAATGCCAGTCTGGGAAAAAAAAAAAAAATTAGTCAGATCTTGTCTCAAAATAAAGTAAGCAAAAAAGAGCTGGAGATGTAGCTCAATGACAGAATGTTTATTTTACAGTGTAAGGCCCTAGTCAAGGCCCATTACCACAGTAAAG